TGCGGAGGTGAGAGCTAATCAGAGACAGCAAACATGCAGCAGGCTACACACCCTGTCTGCGTCTGCACCAGGTGAGTCGCAGGCACCCGGCCTCCCCCCCATGCCTGCTCTGTCCCTGCTCTCTGGAGCTCGGTACTGGCTTGATTCTGGGTTTTCGTACCCCGCAGTTCGCTGTCCAAGCAGCGTAGGACACTGCCACCAGTCTGCAAGGACGGTGCTGATGCCCCCAGTGCTGCAGCAACAGAGCATGGCAATGCCAGGTGGTACCGCCAAGAAGTGCAAGTGTAGCCAGGCCAGAGAGGGATTGCATGAGTAGGGAGCCGCCACGCATACTGCCCCCTCCCCGTCCTACACACTGTGGCAGCGCCGAGGCCCCTGGCCACAAGCCAGCACTTGTTACCTTCCCCTGTGGCCAGCAACCAGGGAGTCTTAGCACGGCCTCCATGGGCATGTCTGGCAGAGCCCTAGCAATTCCTGTTCATCCTGCACGGGACAGGAAACAGCTTCTCTCTCTGAGTCACAGGCCTGGACCCCTCCTTGCACCCCCACTAGGGAATCAATTTTCCCCTCAGACCTTAGCAGAAGCTGAACCGAAGATCCCAGCTGGGGAGTGTGAAGATCCGGGCCAAGCCAGAAATGCAGCAAGGGGCCAGCTGGGAACTGACCCTGCTGGAGCCACTGGGGAGAATCAAGTGTCCTACTCTGGGGCGCTTGCTTTTCCTCTTGCTCTGGGCTTGCCTTGGTCGTCAGCCCCTCCACGCAGCCCAGCTCTCTGACGGGCCAGGTTCTGCCCCGCCCCCACAGCTGGATGACTTGCTGCCTCTCTTCAGAGGGAGGAGATTTAGGGATCAGGATGATGACGAGCTGCTCAGTCCTGACCTACAGCCCCCCTGCTACTCCAACCAAGGTCAGAGACACGGTGATGCTGATGGTGCCCTGCCCACTCTTCGACCTGGGACAGGGCTTGGGTTGGGTTTGAGACCCAGGCAGCCCACTGAAGCATGGCTGGATCTGAGAGAGTGCTGGGGCTCCAAAGATCAGCCCAAGGGCTGGAGTCACTATTCCATCTGGGGTGGCACTCCCAGGAGAGAAGGGGTAGGAGAGCTGGGTATAGGCCTGAGATTTAACTCGCCCCATACTAAACCAGCCTTGGGTGAAACTCAGGGATGTCACCACTAAAATTAAGGGGGAAAAGTGCTCCACTGCTGCTAAGGTGCCCCCACCTCAGGAATGCCCCTAACAAGAGTTATAACACCAAGGGTTGTAAAGTAGAGACACCCAGGCACTGGGAAGTTTAGGGAGGAAACAGAAAGACCCCAAGAATTGGTAAAATAGATACGATAAGCTCTGACCAGTGAATTTATGCTGACCATCTGCACAAACACAGAAGATCATAAGTTACAATTTGGGCATGAGAGATAAAATATAAAGAGTTGAACAGGGAGGAAAAAACAGAGGTGCCAGTGCATGATTGGTTAAATTTTGTTACCTAGTGGTACTGAGTTAAAGGAGGTAGCTTGTTTTACGTAAATAATGTAACAAAAAACAATGCTCTTTGGGAACCATCTCTGGACAGGAATTTAACATCAAGCTGCTGGAACTCTGACCCCTCTGCACAACTGTGACGTGCAGACGCATCGCCAGAACCCCCAGATGAGAGGATCCTGACTGGCCATTGGGTGAATTTTGTCTGTATATTGGGAGTGTTGAGCATAAGAGATTTGCTTGGTATATGTATTCTGTGTGTGTTGTTAATAAATAGATGTTTAGAGAACAGCTGTGTAAGGCTCTCTCACTGGGAAAAAGTCCCGCAGACCCATAAGGCCCTGAGCCCCGAGGGAAAGGGCAGGTACTTAAATTGACCAGGTTTCTTCCTGAGCCCCATGGGTAAGGATAGGTGCCTTACACCCTGAGCCCTCGGAAGGGAAAGGGTGGGGGTGCCTAAATTGATTGGGTCACACCTTGAGCCCTCGGTAGGATATAGGCGAGGTGCCCTGGATTTTTGGCGGGTAACATGGGGAACAGTGCCATAGGCACCCCCCTACAGCACTGTGCTAGGAACAAGCCCTTACCTTGAGCCCCAGGGAATAGCACCCCCACCAGGGCTCTGCTGGGTTTGAGCAGGGACGCAGACATAGAGGAGGAGAGACAACACGGCCACCCCAGTCCTCCATAGCCACAGGATGGGGCTGTTCCCCCAGACCCCTGGACATGCAGCTCTCTGGCCAGGCTGCCAGTGCACAGGACACACAGGTGAGCCCATCTGGCCAGAGCCCAGGTGCCCAGGCTGACTCCTCGTTTGAATAACACAGTGCAGACGGGCACCAGCCTCCTCTTTACAGCAGGTGATGTCCACTGAGGCAGCGCCGTCTAGATCCAAGGGCGGGGAGGGGCAGGCAAAGCTGCTGGATCTGGAAGGAGGGTCCCGTCACAGGTCAAGGACAGAACTGGTCACCTGCATGCCCTGGGGCGGCATGTTCCCAAGGAACGCCTGTAACACCCTTTAGCTGGCTCCCCACTGCAGGTGGAGAACTCACCCCGCCCAGCCTGACAGAGCAAGCCTAGAGCCAGTCCATGCTGTGCCTGCTCCCCAAGCCCAGGCCTGAGTCTCTCCCAGCATGTCCCATCCCATTATTTAAAAGTGGATTGGGCTGGGCTTGAATGAAAGAGATAAACGCAGCCTCTGCAGTGCCCCCACCCCCAGCCACTGCTCCTCAGCACAGCGCCTGGCTTCAAATGGTAGCTAAGTCCACGTTCAGAAGTGACAGACGCTACTTCCCTAGAGCTGCCTCAAGGGCTTGACACATGCTCAGGACACAATCGAGCTCCCACTGGATGGAAGGACAAGACAGAAACAGAGCTGCTACCGAGGCCTTGCCCTTTACTCTTCCTAACCGCCAGGCATGCATGGGTTTCCTGTGTGCTGGAGTGAGGGGCTTTCCTGGGTGGATCACTCAGCCAGCACCCCTTCCAGCCGCTGTAGAAATCCGCCCGCAGCCAGAAATCATGTAGCGACAGAGAGGGGAAATGAGTCAGGATTATTGCACAATCCGGCGGAGCAGGCAGCCTTCGGATTCCAGAGGCAGCAACACCCCTTCAGCTGCCAACGCACTGTTTGTTTTGCTTGTGCAAACTAAGTCGGCCAGCCTGCACAGCCCGCGCTATCAGTTCCCAACTGGCCTATGAGCCCATTTCACACCAGAAACCTCCCACACTTCCAAACCCCCTCGCTGCAAGGTGCCAGGCTCTCCTGCTGTTTACCAGCATGACACAGCCCAGTGTTAAACTGCAAGTCGCCCCAGAACTGGGACCCTGGCCCCCCACCTCCCCAAGGTGAGCCTGCTCCTCATCTCGCGTGACGCTGCCCAGGAACGTATCCACACGGAGGGGCTGGCCACCTTGGGTGAGCGCTGCCCAGGCTCTGAGCCGTGGGACGCCACAGTAGTCAGGTTGTAAACACCTCCCTGCAGCACTCTGCAAACAAAACAGGCAGCATGTTCCCAATTCCTGGAGCCGGGAGCCCCAGGGAAGGGGGCACCAACTTGTTCTGCTCCAGGAAGAACACAAAGCTGAGAGAAAAGAGGAAAAGCAAACAGCCACACAATGCCAGGAGCGGGCAGGATGGCAAACAGCAGCCGATTAGTAAGAATAGGAAAAGGCCAAATCAGACCAGACTTTCACTTTATGCAGAGATTGCTAGCCACATGTTATCACTATTATTACTCATGCCTATTGTGGCACGGCCTAAGGGCAACCCCACAGTGCCAGGCACTGTAAGACACCCCATAGCTATGGCAGTGTGAGGCCAGGAGCACGGTAACACCCACTAACACAGCTGGGTAGCACAGGATTAGCTTTGCCCACAGCAGTGCTTGCTGCCCAGGGGAATTTTTGTGGGTGGTCATTTTCTACAATCCTGAGATCACAGGTTTGGAGTCTAGCGGAAGCCCAAAGTGCCAGTGAGTAGCAAAAAGTTGGCATAGCCCTTTTTTCCTCTCTCTCCCTCTCTTGCTGCCAATAACCATGTCTGTCTGTATCCCATCACTCAGAAAACATAGGCTCAAGTGCAGATCACGGGGCTGGGAGTCAGGAAAGCCCAAGTTCTCACGTTGGGTCTGACATGGTTTTTCCGCAGGACTCTGGACCAGCCCCGTCCCCTCCCTCTGCCTCACTTTCCCCATCTGGCAAACGCAGGGGAAGCAAATGTTTCCTCAGGACTCTGTGAGGCTCCATTCATATTTGCACAGCACTTTGAGCAGGGGAAGTGCTATTTGCTGACCCCCTGGGCCACACCCTCTTGAAGGAACGGAAACAGAAGACAGAGCAGGGTACTTGGATCAACTCAGTGCTGCCAAGCAGTAATGAGGCTGCTATTAAATGTGTGTCATCGGGGCTTATATATAATTCATGGGGTAGAAAAGCAATTAAACCAAACCTCACTGGCTGGGGGGAGGGGCAGCGGGAAGAGAAGCTTTTAGGGTTTGGGGGACAGAAAACAAGGCCGCTGTAACTGATCGTGAACTAGCCCCGCTAGTCCCACCCTCAAGGTTACATGAGACACAACCGGCTCTGCTCGGAGCAAGGTCAGCAATACGCGATCTGCAAAGAGCCTGGAGCCGCAGCTGGGGCACCGACCCCCTGGCCCTAACCACGCTGACAAGTGCAGCTCCTCACCCGGCAGGGCACTCCGCAAGGACAGAGCTCCCCTTGGACAGATCTCAGCTACCGCAGCTGCTAAAGGTCATCTCAACACCCCCCGAACCAGGAAGCACAAAGGCCCGGCTAGCATAGGTAAGCGTGAGAAACAGGAAGACACTAACCAAACTTTGAGCCTCAATAGCTGAGATTCAATGTGGAATGAGAGGACTGGGGGCAACTGGGCCGCCTTTCCTTTTATCCCAACCAACTGGCCCACCCCAGAGAAACCGCTCTGGGCAGAAAGCGCTGCATGCCCCCCGCTCCTCTGGCAAAGGGGAAGGTAGCGTTCGCAGGGGACTCACGTTGTGGGGGCAGTACTCAACGGCCTGGAAGAAGCTGAGCCCTCGCAGCAGCTCACGCTGGGCAGCGCCACAGCACTTGGACATCCCATCCTCGATGGCCTGGTTGATCTGGTGCACGGGGAAGGCGCACACCGCCGAGTACCAGCGCGGCATGGAGCTCTCTGCCTCGCTCTCAGCGAACGCACCGAACAGGACCAGGTCGGTTTCGTTGACGCTGATTTCCTGGGCCAGCTTTGGGCCCGGCCGGGCCACATGGGCTGCCTGCAGCACGTTGAAAGCCACATCGTGCTTGTGCTCCCCGTCTGAGCTCCGCCTCCGTCTGCGCTTGGACTCGAAGCGGCAATCCAGGACCAGCTCGCGGTACCGATCCATGTTGTGCTCCTTGGCTGTCAGCCGCACCAGCCGCGTGTGGTACGATCCGGATGTGGGGCTCTCCTTTTGGATAGTCAGGAAGTACACAAAGTCCTGGGCACTGAAGGAATACACGTAGTCAATGGGGTAGGAGTCCTGGAACTTTGGAAGCACGTTGAGGGAATCGGAAACACAGGAGAACCCATCCAAAGTGGCCTTCGGTCTCCGGATAGACACCGATTTCGGGCTGTACCTCGCAGCTATGCTGCTATTGATGGTAGAGACAATGTAGAAGTAAGAAACACGGCTGGTTTCAGTCACCAGGACCCTCGTCCCCAGGGGGCTGGCCACGCAGTCTGGGCACTCATCAGGACTGTTCTGAGCTGCATACAAACAGTAGGTGGCACTAACCACCACCAGGCTGTCTTGGATTTCCAATTCATGCTGGAAGCACCGGCCGTGCTGGGAAGTGCCACAGCTGTATAACCATGGCTCAGATGGGTCCATCACCAGAACCACGTTATCTGTGTCTTCAAGCTTCCGGCCGTCTCCTGGCTCCTGGCACTGGGCACAGATCTCGCACTGGGCACTGCCCACGGGGCCAGTCACGATGACTGATGAGTTTGCCAGTGCCGGGCTCACCACGTAGATCTTGTTCCGCACCGCCACAAAGAGGGCGGCTGCTCCGCTCGGATCCTTGTAGGTGACAATGTTCTGGATGGGGCCATCCGCGGTGAAGCTGGGCAGCTCATACTTGACAGTGAAGTCCCTGGTAGCGCTATAGGGAATCCGCGGGCATTGCCAAGTGCTGAAAGAAACTCCAGTGAGCATGAACCCCAGGGAGAGGCAAACCAGGAATGAAAGCCCCATGCTAGGGGAGGAAACGCCACTCCAAGATCCTTGACTTCAAAGGTCATCTGAGCGCCTCAGTTCTGAGCGGGTCTGGGATCCATTGAGTGTGAGCTACCATTCCACTTCAGCTGAAATACCAGCAGGAGAGAGCATGTTAGTCGCAACATTGAAGAGGTGTCATGCTGCACTCTAGTACCCAACCGGGAGCACACCACCTCCCCATCCCCCAGAGCAGGCACCGGGTCTCCCCCCAGAGTGCAGAGGGGATCAGGCCCCCCATGCTGGCTGGATCTCTCCAGCATGTCCACAGCACCTACCAGCAGGACAGACCCAGAAAAGCGCTGGTCCATCTCATTCACTGGAGGAAAGAAGTGGATTTGTATTGATGGGTAATGAAGCATGCTGCCCTGACGCTGCACTGCCGTGTCAGCCAGCCACTTGCACAGTCAAGCATCTGGTAACCTCAGTGAGGGTTCACCCAAATGAGGCAAGCCAATACACCCTGCGAGCACTGCCCTGGATACACACTGGGGCTGAGGCACATCAGATGTTGAACAGAACAAAGAAGCCTGGCTAAGTTTTATAACCAGCTACGACGTTTGGATCTCTAAAGACTGGTGGCTGTATAGCTCTGGGGCCCACTCCAGTTGGGATCTGCAAGTAGACGACACTTCTTTCCCCCAGAATCCCCTCATCTCTCACAGGTAGCCCAAGCTGTTTGGAAGAGGTAGCACCGGGCAGCCCCTCCTCCATCTGGCCTCCACATTGCCATGAGATGGAGACAGTAAGGGCTGGGGAGGGGAGAGGGTGAAGATTCCTCTCCCTCACTCAGGCACCTGCTGCAGATCCAGGGACTGAGCATCAAAGGTCAGCCTGCATCTAGCTAGGATGGGAATGAGGGACCTTATTGACGGCCCGCCTCCCACTATTCCCAAAACCATCTGGGCAGGAGTCTTTGTCAGAAAGGTTGAAAGGAGCACTGAAGTGCAGAATAGGGCCCCAGTCAGGTTGTCTGCTAACAAGGGAGGCCTCAGGACTGCGCTCACTTCCCTAAAGAGCAAAAACTGCAACCGATCAAGAGACAAAACTCCCGGCCCCAAATCATCTCCACACATAGCGAGCCCGAGTCTGTTCCAGCTTTATAGAACACCTGCCTCGATGGATCCGCCCGTCTCTGGAGACAAGTTCCACTGGATTTCAGACTCCGGGTCCCTGGAGTAAGGGAAGTTGACAGGATTTGGCTTCTGTTTGGTTTATTATTATACACGGCTATAGCCTCAGGGGCACATTTTCCTAACCTTCATAAGCGCACGTGGAGGTGCCCTCAAGCGCAGGATGTGCATCCGCAACTGGCTGGTTATGTAGCTAAACTGCCACTGTTGCATGGGCATTTACTTAGGCCTTGTCTACATGGGAAAGTTTTACCAATTATACCACTATAGTTACACCAGTATAATCCCACCACCACCACCCATCCATCCTCCGCCGTGGACAAGCCTTATTCCACTATAAGAGACCATTTTTCTGGGTTAGTTTAAACCTTTTCCCAAGCAACATATGCTAAGCCAAACAAGCCACCCTTCTCCTGGTGAGTATCCCCAAGGGGCATGGCAGCACCTCTAGATTAGTTTAATTACACACTCCAGCTTACAGATAAGGAAAATTTGCTTTTTAAACAAGGCGGCTTTGGAGTGGGGAACTTCCTCCTCTCATTCCATCTAGGGCTGGGCTGCTAGCAGCAGCCACACACCTAGATCACTACAGTGATTCCGGAAACTGCCTGCACTGTCTCACACCTCCTCTGCTCTGTCACCACATGCCAGAGGAAGGCAGAGACAGGGGGAATATGGATAAGGAGAGCCAGCTGCTCCCTCTACCCCACACCCACCCACCTACCTGCTGGGCATGCTCACCGGGGATGGGGGGGCATGAAAGTGGGGAAAGACACTGAGAAGCCAGGAGAACAGTAGGGTTTCTACAGAGGCAGAAAGCATGGTAGGTGGAGATGCCCTCCCCATGCCACAAAAACCACGGGACAGGAATGGTTATGACTGACCAGGGCAGATTTGAAGTAGTGACCTGGTAGTGGCAGGTCCTGTGCCCCATGCCTCATCCTGGAGGCGATGGACCCTGCGCCCCACTCCCCATCAGATCAGATGCCCGGTTCCCCCATGCCAGGTGGCACTCTGTCCTGAGCACCCCCGTTGAGTCTCATTAACACGCTCCCAACGGTTAGAAACTGACCTTAGAAACCCGTGCCAGGCACAGGCAGAGATCTGTCCCTGGGACCGGCATACGGGCACCCACTGAGAGGCAATCCAATGGCCTCAGAGCGTCTGCCTGTCCCTGTTCTTCCCCCGTGGGCAGGGATCCCAACACCAGCCTGGGCCCCTCTCCACACCACCCCCCGGGGATCTGCCCTGGGAACACGGAAACCTGGCACCAGTAGGTATAAAATGGGTATTCACCCCCCACGACCCCCCATCCCAGAGTCACCCTCTGCCCGGCCCTGCTGCCCCAGACACACCACACACCCTGCCCGCCCCAGAGACACCCCCTGCCTGGCTCCTGCTGGCTCAGACACCTCCTGCCCAGCCCTGCTGCCCCAGACACCCCCACCGCCCACCCCAGAGACACCACCTCCCTGGCCCCCGCCGCCCCCTCACCCTCACCCTCTCCTCCGCCGGAACCCACCGCAGACGCCGGCCGCTCCCCGCTGCGCCGGGCCGGGCCAGCCCGTGGGTGCTTGGCCGGGGCGCTCCGCTCACCTGGTCGGGTAGCTCCGGGGCGGGGCGAGTTGAGCTGGAGGAGGGACCCGCCAGCTCCCGCCCTGGGGCCGGCACTACGGGCGGGCTCCTGCCAGCGGCTCCGCCCGCAGTCTGATCGGAGCCCCGCGGCAGCGCGGGGTGTGATCGAGAGCCTGGGAGCTGCAAGTGCCCAACTAGCCGGGCTGTCATCCCCGGCCCGGACAGACACACACCCTGGACACACACACCAGACACACACACACATACCCCCGACTGACGCACAAGCGCACCCTGGACACACACCCACACCAGACAGACACACTCACACACACACACAAACACCCATCCTGGACAGACAGACAGACAGACACACACTGGACAGACACACACCCCGGACACACACACACATTCATGCACACCCCGGACAGACACATACACTCATACACACCCTGGACAGTCACACACCCCGGACACACATACACATTCACACACACCCCAGACAAACAGACAGAGACACACACACACACCGGACTGACACACACACCAGACACACAAACACACTCCAGACACACACACACACATACCCCGAACAGACACACACACACACACACCAGACAGACAGACATACACCCCGGACAGACACACACACATACCTGACAGACACACACATACACCCCTACACACACACCGGACTGACAGACATACACCCCAGACACACACACTGGACAGACAGGCATACACCCTGGACACAAAAACACATTGTACACACACCCACACCCACACTTTGTACAAACACACACACCCTGTACAAGTACACACACTCCCGTACATACACCCTGTATAAACACACACACATCCTGTACTGACACACACATACACATTGCTAACATAGTTCCTATCTTTAAGAAAGGGGGGGGGGGGAAAGTGATCTGGGCAACTACAGGCCTGTCAGTTTGACATCTGTAGTATGCAAGGTCTTGGGAAAAAATTTGAAGGAAAAAGTAGTCAAGGACATTGAGGTCAATGGTAATTGGGACAAAATACAACATGGTTTTACAAAAGGTAGAGCGTGCCAAACCAACCTGATCTCCTTCTTTGAGAAGGTAACAGATTTTTTTAGACAAAGGAAATGCAGTGGATCAAATTTACCTCGATTTCAGTAAGGCATTTGATACAGTTCCACATGGGGAATTATTAGCTAAATTGGAAATGATGGGGATCAATATGAAAATTGAAAGGTGGATAAGGAACTGGTTAAAGGGGAGACTACAACAGGTCGTACTGAAAGGTGAATTGTTAGGCTGGAGGGAGGTTACTAGTGGAGTTCCTCAGGGATTGGTTTTGGGACCAATCTTATTTAATCTTTTTATTACTGACCTTGGCACAAAAAGTGGGAATGTCCTAATAAAGTTTGCAGATGACACAAAGCTGGGAGGTATTGCCAATACAGAGAAGGAGTGGGATATCATACAGTAAGATCTGGATGACCTCGTAAACTGGAATAATAGTAATAGGATGAAATTTAATAGTGAAAAGTGCAAGGTCATGCATTTAGGGATTAATAACAAGAACTATTGTTATAAGCTGGGGAGGCATCAGTTGGAAGTAACAGAGGAGGAGAAGGATCTCGGAGTATTGGTTGATCACAGGATGACTATGAGCCACCAATGTGATATGGCCATGAAAAAAGCTAATGCGGTCTTGGGATGCATCAGGCGAGGTATTTCCAGTAGAGATAAGGAGGTGTTAGTACCGTTATACAAGGCACTGGTGAGACACCATCTGGAATACTGTGTGCAGTTCTGGTCTCCCATGTTTAAGAAGGATGAATTCAAACTGGAACAGGTTCAGAGAAGGGCTACTAGGATGATCCAAGGAATGGAAAACCTGTCTTATGAAAGGAGACTCAAAGAGCTTGGCTTGTTTAGCCTAACCAAAAGAAGGCTGAGGGGAGATATGATTGCTCTCTATAAATATATCAGAGGAATAAATACCAGGGAAGGAGAGGAATTATTTAAGCTCAGTACCAATGTGAACACAAGAACAAATGGATATAAACTGGCTATCAGGAAGTTTAGACTTGAAATTAGACGAAGGTTTCTAACCATCAGAGGAGTGAAGTTCTGGAACAGCCTTCCAAGGAGACTAGTGGGGGCAAAAGACATATCTGGCTTCAAGACTAAGCTTGATAAGTTTATGGAGGGGATGGTATAATGGGATAGCCTAATTTTGGCAATTAATTCGTCTTTGACTACTAGCGGTAAATATGCCCAATGGCCTGTGATGGGATGTTAGATGGGGTGGGATCTGAGTTACTACAGAGAATTCTTTCCTGGGTGTCTGGCTGGTGAGTCTTGCCCACATGCTCAGGGTTTAGCTGATCGCCATATTTGGGGTCGGGAAGGAATTTTCCTCCAGGGCAGATTGGCAGAAGCCCTGGGAGTTTTTCGCTTTCCTCTGCAGCGTGGGGCACAGGTCACTTGCTGGAAGATTCTCTGCACCTTGAACTCTTTAAACCATGATTTAAAGACTTCAATGGCTCAGACATAGGTTTGATACAGGAGTGGGTGGGTGAGATTCTGTGGCCTGCATTGTGCAGGAGGTCAGACTAGATGATCATAATGGTCCCTTCTGACCTTAAAGTCTATGATTCTATGATTCTATACACCAGTACACTCACACACACATACACTCATACCCAATACAGACATACATACATTCACACCCCAATACAGACAGACACATGTATTTATACACACACACACACACCCCATACAGTCACACACACATCCCATACAGACACACATATGTACACTCATACACACACACCCCATAAACTCACACCCCATACACACACCCTATACAGACACACACACGTACATTCACACACACACATATATTCATAGTTCATGCAGGCATGCACACCCATATATGCACACCCATACACTGACACACACACACACCCTGTACATACACACACACCTTCATACACTCACACCCCATACAGACATATACATACCTGTGCACTCTGTCACACACTCCCATGCCCTCACACCCCATACACACACACACACACAACCCCATACACTCATTCATACACAATCACACATGCTCCTGTACACTCACACACGCATACACACAGATACACATATACTCACTCAAACATGGACATGCACACACCCATGTACGCTCACACGTGCAAACACACAGAGATAGGCACACACACCCTGTACACTCACATGTGCATACACTCAAAAATACACACATACAGATACATGCACTCCGTGCACTCACATGTGCATACACACAGAGATACACACTCACCCCTATACACTCACACGTGCATACACACGCAGATACACATAATTGTGTGCATGCACACATATATATACTTGTACCCATAGACACGCACATATTTGCAGATACATACATGTGCACAAACACACATACATATGCACATACATAGATGCATGCAGCTACCCACAAACATACATACATACCGATTAGGCGCCTTGGCAATCTTTTTGAAATACAGTAAATAAACACCCAGATCCGCCTGCAGCGCCGCGAGGCCTGCGCTAATAATGGAGGCCGGCACAGCCTGCTCTCATTGTGTGGTCAGCATGGGAAAGTGGCTCACGGCTGTGACATGCTCCAAGCAGGTGTACCACGGAAGGGGGATGTGGAAAGGTGAGAACAGGAGACAGACTCAATTAGTCCAAACAAAGAGGCTGTTGATGAGTCATGGACTCTGTTCAAATCAGGTTTGATAAACCAAAGATGTGAGGGCCCGAAAATTAATGGCCCACAATTGGGGTGTAGGAAATGAAGCCTAACCGGCGATCACAATGATGAGGGGCTGGGCTACCCCACTCCCCTGTTTTGGGGGGTTCTTAACAAAAAAAAGACTTTGGGGGGAAATGAACAACTCCTGGCTGGAAGATAGGTAAAGCAAAGAGAGCAAGCGCCTCCAGCCTGGCTCCCGCCCCCACCATCTCCGGAGAACCCAGGATCCGCCGGAACACAACTGGGCTTCCATCAGCCTGAGAAATGTCCTGAGAAGGCCAGGCCAGAGCAAGGGGACCCCACCAACTCTGGCTGACTCATGAGCAGCACCTGGGATGTGAGACTTTGTCATACAGCCCCTCTTGTGCATCCTGCCACGGGATAAGAGGGAAGGTGCTCTCATGGACTGGCAACTGGTTAAAAGATAGGAAACAATGGTTAGGTATAAATGGTCAGTTTTCAGAATGGAGAGAGGTAAATAGTAGTGTCCCCCAGGGGTCTGTTCTGGGACCAGTCCTATTCAACATATTCATAAATAACACTGCTCTACAGCCAAAATGCTTCTGAAATAAATGTAGTCAAACTTTACTAATTCTGGGTCACTGAGAACGAAAATGATGCTTAAAATTGTTGATTGGCTCTAGTTTTCAAGATATGCTATTGGGTCAGTATATACGACCCTTGACTTGGGAATGGCGGAGGATAAGTGAGTTATAAAGGGAAGGGATCTCAATTTAAACCAGAAATGACTAAAATACATCTTTGACTGGATCTATGAATAAATCTGTGACTGGGTTTGGATAGTACTTGCTTTTTAGGCAAAACAATGAATGATGCAATCTGAAGCTGGTATTGCGTCATACATGATATGAATTGCATCATGTTATTCCTAGAAGTCATGGATGATGCAATCATAACGAAGCTTACATCACTCTGCTGAACAAATTGCCCTATATCAGCTCTAGAAATCATACAGTGTCGTGCTCTCTTATTTGTCAGTGTTTGATTTTGCAAAGGGACACATTTCTGTTTAGCCAAAGTGAGCAGAGATGCCTCGTACTTGTGTGAACAGTGCAGATAACTTCTGCTATGTTTGTGGTGAAGTGACTTTTGCATCGCAAAAGCTCAGTATAACCACTATGGTTAAGAAAGCCTATCACCTTTATTTTGGCTGCAAAATTGGAGATCAGGACAAGAGGTGGGCCCCACACATATGCTGCAAGACTTGTGCAACAAATCTTCGCCAG